AAATAGTCAATCCGAATGACAGGCAATTGTTGAGGTGAATATGATTAGTGATAATGATTCTATCAGGAAAATTATTAATAAGAACACTATATATATAATTAGCACTAAAGTACTCCTAGTGGTTAGAGGATAGTTTGAGAATTAAGTTTTGAAAAAAGACAAATGGACCTAGGTACAGCATATGCCAAAGAAAGAGAGGATAATTATTAGAGATGATTTAAATGGGCATTTAAGGTCTAATAGGATCGGTCATGGGAGAATTCATGGTGTATGGAACAGCAAATAGAAACATGATAAAAGAATCTATATTTGATTTCGGAGAAGCATATAATCTTAAATGGTAATGCAAATTTTAAGAAAAGAAAAGAGCATTTAATTTATTTCAATAGCAAGCCCATCAAATCATTAATATTTCTTCTTCACTTCTACATAAAAAAAAATTTATTGTAAAAACAGTAAGGTGATTACAAGATAAAATTTGACCATACAATGAAAAATATAGTAATAATAGATATATATTTTAGAAGTATAAGAAAATGATCAAAAGAAAAAAAATTTGTTGGATAAGATTGTGGAACTTAAAAGGTGCGAAGTCATATTTCAAGATAGGTTGGTTAAAGAAAAAAATTTTAAGTAATTAATGTTGACCAAAGCTTCAGTTGAGATAAAACGGTCAATTCAATGAAGACAAATATCAAAGAATTTTTAGGAGAGCCTAAGGAGATTTGGAAGTGGAGTGCAAAGGTCAAGAAGGTTCATGAAAATAAAAATAAAAATAAAAGCTTTTAAAGAGTGATAAAGGATAAATAATTGAGGCTTATAATAGTTATAAGTTAAAAGTCATGCAAAAGATGTAGTGAGGAAAGAAAAAATAATAGCTTTGATGATTTATATAATAGGTTAGGCAAAACAATAAGAAAAATAAATATATAAAACAACAAAAGCAAGAGAAAAGAAATTTAAGGATTTTGATCAAGCTAGCTATATTACAAATGATTAAACGAGATTTTAACTAAATAATAATAATAATAAAGACATCAGGTAAAAATTGGAATGCTACCTTGAAAAATTATAGACTAAGAGTTTTAAGAAAGAATTCATTCTATAAGAACACGATGAATGAAATGAAGAGGTATCAATGAAGAGGTATTTTCTTGATTAGTCCCAAAAAAATAAAGAGTATTAAATCTAACATAAATACGTAAAGGAGATACCTATTAGAAAGTTTTGCGTGATATTACAATAATTTCGTTAATAATTTTGCTTGCTAAGATATCAAACTTCGATCGCTATGATATCAAATGCTTGTAGAAGAAACATTTTGATACTATTATTTAAGAAAGAGATATTCAAGATTATAGTAGTTAAGTTGGTATCTTTTTGTGTTGGTCATGCAAATGTTTAAAATATATTCAAAATGAGGTACATTTATAAGCTTTTGGCATGTTACATAGTTCTGATCTATGATAAATTTATTAAAATAAATGAAAAATTGATAATGACGAGAGTATTTATAAAATAAATAACATATAACTAATAAAGCAAAATTTCCTAAAATAAAATGTAAATTTAGTGGGTATGATATTAACAATTATCATTCAATAATAGTTGAAAAAAAACAAATACTTAGGTGTAATAGGTTTAATTATATTGAACATGCAAAAGTTTGCAACAATTTTATTTAAGAAATATTTCAAATACATTCAAAAGCTTATACCTTAGGTTACAAGAAATTTGCATTTGTTTAAATTTTGAATTGATGTATTTGAACCATTGTGTAAATACTAGGGTATCTCCTGAAAGCCACGGGCCATATGACCTGAATACAGTGAAACATGAGAAAGGGCCGCTACACTGAGCCCGAGTGTAGTGTCAAATAAGCAAGGGTTTTCATATTATAGACGAATGCGGGGGGGCAAAGAAGTTAGTCCATGAAACTCTCACAGGTAAATTAATAGAATTAGTAGGTATTAAGATTCATAGAAAGAAAAATATCTTATGCATTGAAAAAACTAAACGAGTTGAATAAAAAGCTAAGAAGATTAATAACTTAGGTTTTAAATTTTAGTATTCAAATAGAAGTTGCACCAAAATGGTGTTGGGTTTTTTTTGTAATAAATGTTGTAAAAATTAATAGATAATGTTGTAAAAATTAATAGAATTGGAGATAAAATTATAGCACCATAAATTATTATTGTTACTAAGAATTTTAATGTTATAAGTGCTTATGCTCATCTAGTAGGTTTAAATATATGTTCAAAAGAAAAATTTTAGAATGACCTAGAAGAATTAATATAAATGATAAATGAACATGTTGGTAGAGTGATAGAAGATTTTGGAAATATTCATGGTGTCTAAGGTTTTGTAGTGATTAATGAAGAATGTGGAACAAATATTAGATTTTGCTTTAATTTATGATTTTTCTATTGCTAATATTTTATTTAACAACTCCTCAACTTCAATTTAAAGTAGTATCCGATGATATCCAAATTGAAAGTGTGGAAATATTTATGAGATTTGGAAGTTTCTTAGCTTAATAAACTCTTTAATATTATTTTAGAAACTAGAAAGATAGTTGAGTTGTAGAGGAAAAGTAATTTGATCCCCATTTTTAAGAATAAATGGGATGCACCAAAGTGTGCAAATTATAGATGAATTAAATTAATGTGTTATACTTTAAAATTATGAGAGATGGTAATTGAACATAAGTTAAAACATGATACAAAGACTTCTCACAATCAGTTTGGATTACTGTCGGGCAAGTCTACCATGGAAGCTATACATTTATTTTGAGGTTTGATGGAGAAGTACAAAGAGAGTAAGGAGGATATAGATATGATTTTTATTAATTTAGAAAAAGCTTATGCTAAGGTTCCAAGACAAAGTTCTAGAAAAGAAAGACGTTAATATGACTTATATTCAAGTCATTAAAGATATGTATTCTAAAGCTGTTAATTGTGTTCGAATAGGAGGATTGGCCAAGTATTTTCCTATTTCAGTTGGACTGCATTACGGATCGGCTTTAAGCCCATCTTTTTTCTTTTGTTATGAATGCTCTTACTAGACAACTATACGAGGATGTACCTTACTGTACTTTTTTCACTGATGATATCCTTCTTGTGGATAAGACTACAAAAAGAGTTTAGTAAAAACTTGAATTATGAAGGTCTACATTGGAGTCTAAAGGTCTTCGTTTGAGTAGATCTAAAATTGAATTCCTGAAATGTAATTTTAATAGAAGTAGCTTTTGTGACAGGGTTGTAACTATGGGTCATCAAATCATTAAAAGGTGTGAACATTTTAGATATCTCAAGCCTACTGTTCAAAGTGATTGTGATATGGATTGGGATGTTATTAGTGGAATTCAAGTGGGTTGGTTGAAGTGGAGGAATGCACCAGATCTATTGCGTTATAGAAAAATACCGCTTAGAATTTTAATAGTAGTAGCTTCAGTGGCAGGGTTGTAACTATGAGTCATCAAATCATTAAAAGGTGTGGACATATATCTCAGGCCTACTGTTCAAAGTGATTGTGATACGGATGGGGATGTTATTAGTGGAATTCAAGTGGGTTGGTTGAAGTGGAGGAATGCATCGGATCTATTGTGTGATAGAAAAATACCGCTTAGACTTATAGGAAACTTTTATAAAATGGTGATGAGACCTGCAATGTTTTATGACACAGAATGTTGGACTTTAAAAGAGAAGCATAAAACTAAGTTAAGTGTTGTTCACATGAGAATGCTTAGATGGATGAGTGATTTGACACTCAGAGACATAATACAAAATGAATCTGTTCGTGAAAGGGTTGGTGTAGCTCAAGTGAAAGACAGGATTAGAGAGAGTTGTCTTACATGATTTTGTCAAATTAAATGTCGACCACCTGATGATACGGTTAGAAGAGTAAATGTTTTATATTCAACTTACGCTAAGAAAGTCAAAGGTAAACCTAAAAAAAGGTTTGTTGTCGTTGTTGTACTTGAATCCAAATTCTTTTGTTTTGTTCTGATTCTATTGATATTTTGAAAATCATTTGGGATGAATTTAAGACGGATTTGTGTTTCACAAAATGTTTATTTGTAATTAGAGTAAATCTAAGAGAAATCAATAGTGCCTGAGATTTATGGATGTTATTGGAGCTACATATCATTAATCAACGACAAGAAATATCAAAGTTTTGTAGTTTGTTAGGTCATAGAAACTTACAAATACCCAATGTGAAGCCAATATTATCTCGTTGAAGCTCTCAGGGACCCGATAATGTCATTGAGATATCATTTTCAATCCCTTCGTGTAAAATTAAATTCTTACATCACAATTTTGTATAGTTCAATATTTGTGTTGATTTATACTTAAATCTAATCAAACACTTAAAGCTAGCAAATTTAGTGCTTTGAAAGCTTATTTTCAATCTACAACCTATTAAGGGGCTATTTAATAGCATAATTTACTGAGAATTAATGCTAAATCTTGCCCAAAAAAAAAATTTTTGAGCCACATAAATTCTACTACCTTCTTAAATTTTATTATCCTCCTATTTTAAGTTAAACATGGCATCTAGTAAATTCTGACTTAGTAGAATTTAAGAGAATTACATCATTTCTCCTCACTATGCCAATTCTCCTTTTTCATTTAAATTCAAAATATTAAAAATATCAGCCAAACATATTTTAATTAGATTCAACCAAATTTAAAATTTATCATTCTATAATATATTTACAAGTTGATGCCTCCAGGAATTGCTAAAAATATATTTACAAGAATTGCTAAATCCTACAGGAAGCCAAACACCTAGGACTCGGTCTTCAGGTGAAAAATTAAGTCGCTAATTATTCTAAAACTGTTGGATGAAAGACAAATTCAGATATAATCCTCAAACTAAATAGATAATAACACGCAACAATCAGAATATTTAATATTTTTTTTCTTTTGAACTTCTCTAAAGTTATAATCGACAAAATAAATGCGCATAAGAATACAGCAGATAGGAAGTTTAATAACCTCAATGTCAATCCTTCTTTCAGAAATCATGAAGAATCCAAGGTATCGCCAGTTGCAATGCCGCTCCTTAGTAGCTTCTCCACATACTTCCCGAGTATGTCCACCTCCAAATTAACCTTATCTCCCACCTTTTTCATGGGAATGACCACCTTCTGCTGCGTGTAAGCCACCAGCATAAAATCAAAACAGACATCCTCATCATAGACGTGAACCACCGTCAAGCTCGTTCCGTCTACAGTTATAAATCCTTTGGGCACAATATAGCGTAGCAGCTCCGGCGAAGTCTTTACCTTCACCCAGATAGAATCCCCCTCCGATTCGAACTTTACAATTTCACCAGTCCCATCAACGTGGCCCTGCACGAAGTGCCCTCCCATCCTTGAGACAGGCTGCAACGCCCGCTCAAGGTTGACGGGCGATCCAGGGCCGAGCTCACCGAGGGAAGTTTTCCGGAGTGTTTCCGGTGAGAGCCCCACGGAAAAGTGGGACGCCGCTGGATCAAACGCAGTGACGGTGAGACAAGTCCCGTTGACGGAGATGCTGTCGCCGAGTTGGACGCCGCCCATAACGGTTTTCGCCGCGATCTTAAGTTCCAAGCCACCTTCATGGTTAGGACCCAAATGCTGAATATGGCCTATTTCCTCAACGATTCCGGTGAAAAGGGATTTAATGGCGGAGCTGGGGTTTTTGGGCTTGAGGTGTGGTAGCGATTTGAGTGAAACTGGGGCAGATTTGAGATAGGGTTTAGTTGAAATCCTTAAGGAATTGAGAAGGAAGGGTGGGTTGCTGCGGGATTTATTGGGAGGGGTGTGAGATTTGGCTTCTGTGAAGGAGGCGAGAGCTGCAGAAGAAGAAACCGCGGCCATCATTCTAAAAACAAGCCGCCGAAGCAGAAGAGTTCTGTCTTAACTTGTTAAGCGCTTGCAACAAATTAACTCGGCCATGTCTATGTCCATTTGGAGCCCTACACCTAAAATTTATATGTGAGAAGGGGACAGTGGGCACATCACCCAAATTCTCCATGGACGAAGCTGGAAATTGCAAATACCGTTTGTAAAGCCAACAGTTAAATGAAGAATTATAACTTTCTAGCAAGTGTGTTTAGAAATTGGCTCCTTTATGGTTCAAAATGTGAAGGAAGCATTGTACATTTTGGAAGGGTTTTATGAAAATAGCCGCTCATCGTATTGGATGTATCACACCTCATGTGAAATGCTACAGCAAGTTTTTCTTATTTTATGACCCTGGCAGCTTTTTGATTAAAAATATTAAATCATGATTTATCTATGAATCACACCTAAAAAATAAAGCGTAATTCTACAGGAGTGTGTGGGTGATAGGGAAACATGAACCGTTGTGAACAATAATACGTCGTGTTTTATTCATGAAACGATCTCCCTATTTACAGGGGAGAATATAATATCATAATGTTGTAGTTTAGCCCCTGCTTTAAAGGGGGATATACAGGTTATTCTTGTATTTTATATGTATGAGTATATCACTTGGTTGTTATCTTATGTGGTCGACTGAGCTTGATTAGCATTGGGTTGGCAAGATCAGCTCGGTAGGTCAAATCGGCTCGGTAGACTGCATTTGGTTGATATGGGTCGGCCGATTAATATGGTCTAGGTGTTGATCATTGACTTCAGATGGGGACTCTCTAGGCATTCTTAGGATGTTTGGAGATACCAAAGAATCAGATCTTCCCTTGGATCAGCTTTCTTGTAACAAGTATGCTCTGATACTCTTTGTCTCATTTTTTACTGAGTAGCTCATCCCAATGTCCTCTAGTCGCATTTCGTTCATCCATAGTATGTTTGGCTTTGGGCTTGTTCGCTTGGCTCTGATAGCTTCACCTGATCGAACAAGTGGACCTCATGATCTTCTGTTAGTGGATCATCCTTTGTCGTATTATTTCCATCTGGACTGTTAGATCTCCTCAAGATCAACGTCATCACACTTTTATGTATATATTTTAATTCCTCAATTCTCTTACTTCTTACTTCTTGAAAGCGACACTGCAATAAAAATGAGAGAATTTAATGCTAAAATTAGATCGCATTTATCCTTAATCAATGATTCAATAATATAACTTTATTGATTTGTGTGTCCTTTATCATTATATATGAGGTGTGACATGACTTCTTACATTCCATATTTGTTATGCATTTCTTCTAATTCGAAAAAGTCGACTTTCGAGCACTAGAATGGAGAACATGCCAATTCCCCTGATCATTATACCCAATAAAGATATGCTTCATGTTGCCTTTGGGAGATCGAAGGAGCAGTACCACCTGTAAGGTAAAAATAAGAAGAAAACTATCCTTGAGAAGAAAAGGAGCGGTTATGTTGGAGATCAGATAGGGTCATGTCATTAGTCTCTCGGATCTCGATGGAGGAACGTTTAGGTGATCGACCTGATCATTGATCTGTTGGCTCAACTTTATACTCCAACATAGGACCCACCGACTAAATAGACCTCACAAGAAGCTATTGGTGCTCTACCGCTGCCCAGGCCACAAGAAGTTGTTAGTGTTTTGTCACCTCCCAATGTGAGCAAGGTGTTGAGTGGGATTGACTCCTTTATATGAGAGTCTCAATCTTGTTAATTTTTTTTATTTTTTGGGTCTCCTCTTTCTACTTTGTGACTTATTGCTACTCACCCGGTCTCGATAGTCCAGGGTGATGGCTCGCCTCCAGTATATGTTGGTAGGAACCCGTCTGTGGTGCCATCGGTGGTTGCTCTAGTGCCAGGTCCGGGCAGCAGACTCTCGAGCAAGGATTGTAGGGCTAACTGAACAAATAATCCTCTCAAAACCTGTGAGGAAGCAACTGATCCATGTTAGATATCTCGCGAGTCACTAGTTCATCACCTGGATGAGATCTAGAATGGCTTTACTCAATCGGTTGGTTTTCATTAAAAAAAAAGAAGAAAAACACAAGTTGGTTGCTCACGTGGAGAAATTGGAGAGGATGGAGGAGATGACCACACTTCACCAGAAACTGCTTGATGCATGGGAGAGATTCTTCATACTACAGGCTCAAGCCAAGATAGACCAAGTGAACCAGTTAAGTTCAGGGACGTCCATCTTATAAAATTTTTCCTCTCAGCTTAGCTCCCGAGAACCTTTTTTAATTTTGTAATGTTTTTTTAGAATAAAATAACATACTTGATAAAATTGAAAATATTTTTTTTTCCTAACGATAACGGTGGTGATGGTAGTGGTGTTGATGGTTGGCTGATAGTAGGGAATGTGTGGGAGCCTGGCACATTTCAGAGTGGGTCAGGGCATGCTAGAAATAGTTTATGCGTCAAGCCTAAGTAGATCGGTTCGGGTTGTGCAGTTTTGAATGGTTTGCAGAACCATTTCCCTGTTGATGCACGATAGTGCACACTTGTTTGTGAAAAGTGTAGATGTGTGTGCAAGCACGCATGTGTGTGCCTGCAAGACTGAGAACCATAATTTTTTTTATAAAAGAAAATCAAATTTGACGCCCATTTACCCATTTTTTAGCTTATAAATAACCCCAATATAGAGAGGAGAATGCATAATTCCCCTATTCATATTGAAATATCGTTTGACACACTATTGTGCCTCATTTATTGCATGTTGTTGTGCCACTTTTCTTACTTGTTGTTGTATTTGTTCTTCTGTGTTGTTGTGGAATGATATTATAACTTGTTGTTGTGCTTTCCCAGAGGATTTTTTTGTGCTTTGAAATGCCAAAGTCTAGGGAATCATAAACCCCCAAAAATCACAAAAAAATCACTTTTTGAATAACATGGTGGTGCGATTGCTGACACCTCCAATCGAGCAGTTCTAACTCCCTTTGATTATGTTTTGATTTAAGAGGTAAATTTGTAAAGTGTATTGAGGTTTCCACTATTGACCTATTTGGTAGATATTCTAAAAGTTAATGAAGTTATCATTTCTTAGGTCATCTGTCAGGCAAACAATCATTATCGCGTTGATCACATTCCTTAGAAAATGTAAGGCAAACTTGATGTCTTGGTCTTAGCCAGGATTGGGAGGTTTGTCAGTGATACTCATGATTGTATATCCTTCAAGAGTGAATGGCTAGAATTTCAAAAAAATGATGCACCAAAAGATTGGATATGTATTTTTTTTTTTGGTGAAAAATGATTAGGGTTTTTGCGATAAAAATGAAAAATTTAAGGAGCTACCCCTTCATCCTTAGGTTGTACTGAGGATTTTCAAACTTCAAAGTATTAAAAAACTTTAGCCTGAGATATACTACCCCAACAAATTTGTAACAGAAGAATCTTTGAGCAATATTGACCTCTCCATTCATACGATACTCCTATCATGTGATGTTGAACTAGTCGAAATAAACAAAGGGGAACTCAGTTAAGTGTCATAAGTAACAAAAAATTTTTCGATAAATCCTTTGAAGATTTGTATTTTTGAAGAAATGTTTAAACACATGTGAAGGAGGCTTTCACGAGTTGAAAAATATGTAATCATCCTTAACCCTCTTTAAATTTTTACTGGATTTTTTTCATATCCCATATATATTTATCCTATTAATGTAATAAGGAATATGTATTTAGATCTTGATCTGGACCTTTCTTTTAAGGAATAGAAGACATAGTTCACAAAGATCAAATATCTTTTAGGCAAGTATAAACATATGTATAATGCCAGTGTAAAATAAATACTAGCTTTGGGGGATTGACCAACAAAGTGTAAGACTGAATTATCCACCATGAGAATTTTTCTTTCTCTACAAAGTCAAGAGCTAAAGAATACTTAAGAAAATTTGAAAAAACACTATCTTATCTTAATCAGAATACTGAGAATTTTAGGAATTTTTGAGCGAAAATGTTGGCTCTTGAAGAGGAGAATAAAAACTTATAAACCCGGTTTGAAGGAAAGGAATTATATATTGGCTTATGGAATGGGGTTCATATGATGTACCATTAGAATAGAATATACATCTAGAACTTATCTTCCCCCCTTCTTACTTGGAAAGCGGAGAAGTTGAAAGTGACATGAAATCACACATTCATAAGTAGGAGAGATATTGATGTAGATTGGTATTTTGTTTCTGCTAACACCAGATAACATTTTTTATATTTGTCTTTGTAGCTTATTGTTTACTTGATGAAACATTTATACTTTTTTATAGTGTTTTTGTCCATAAATTTGTTTTTTTGCTCGATATAAGAATGTTGATTTCTTATAATTTGCCCCTCAAAGAAGATAAAACCATTATAAGTCTTGAAAAGAATAAAAAATATTACTATTAAGATATTTCCCCTCAATAGAAGCATAGTGACATCGAACTCTTCTAAGACTTAATTATTTTGAGATTTTATTAGTGAATGTGTGTCATCTAATGCTTATAACATTATACAGTTTTTAATTGTATTTCTGAGGCTTATGAATTTTAAAAATTTTTTAGTGTCTATGTATTCTCTAAGGCTTATACCCTTCTAAGATTTTTTGTGTACATGTACTTTCTAAGGCTTATAGCCTTCTGAGTTTTTTTAAATATACATATACCCTTTAAGTCTTTTGAGTAGAGATTTTGTCAACTACTTATTCTCATGGAGTCTTTCTAGCAAGGACCCTTATCCACTATTATGTTTCCACTGACGCTACTTCATAGGCATGTCTTCCAGGAGGGTCATAGGGGATCATATATGTCACTTGTAAGGTTTATGTCCACTATTAAGCTCTCATTGAGACAACCTCAGGGGATCTTTATTGTAAGGTTTATGTCCACTATTAAGTTCTCATTGAGACAACCTCATGGGTGTGTCTTTAAAGGGTATAAGTGGAGACTATGTTTGTCACTAGCCTGCAATGGGTCTTTCTAGTGGGATTTGTGTTCACTACTAGCTTCAAATTAAGAACACGTCGTGACCATATCTTCTACGGGTATAATTGGACATTGTGTCTATCACTTGCTCTCAAAACGTCTTTCTATTGAGAATTATGTTCACTACTAGTTTCCCATTGAGATTAACTCATGGGCATGCCTTCAAGGGGAGTAAGTGAAGATTTTCTCTGTCACTTGCCCTCAA